ATATAGTCTTAAGGTGTGCTATATTTATGGATACAGTTCTCGATATCAGAGAGATAGAGCGTGTAGTAAATATAAAGTGAACATAAGTTATATGCAATCGTCAGGACAGTCTGATTGCATATAGCATACAATCGTCAGACTGTCGATTGCATATGTGCTGACTTATATATATATATATATATATATATATATATATATATATATATATACAGGTGCAACAACAAATTTGTCCAGATCGTGTAACATCAAAATTGTGCAATTGTTTGATTAAGCTTTAAGCTTTGAACGTTGTAGCTTAGAAAGGATTAAAAATATCTTACTGGAATGTTCAAATGTATATTTATTATTCCAGAATCATTTTCCAACTTAATCAAGATGATCTTCGCCCTCTAACTTTCTAACATTCTCTCCTGGCCTAACAAGGTGCCTCACAGCTTCCACGTACGATTTCATTTTAAAGTCTTTTTTCAGTGCTCTTTGGACTGTCATAGGTGAAACTTCTCTCTCACCTGACAAACGTCGTATAAATGGAGTTGGATCTTTCCTAACTTATCTCGTTAGCTCTAAGTTGAAATGATGATCCCTTTTGCTGTTTGACCTCCTGATTCAGTTTTCCTCTCTACTGTTCCCCTCTTTTTAAAACTTATTCACCATTCTGTTGATGGTTCTTAAATAGACTGAAGATGGAAGCCAGATTATGAATTTTGGTACCATTACTGAAGGCCTCAATGATCTTTTTCCTTTCATCATTGCTCAATTGGGAAGAGAGTAGGGCTCTTAACCAGTTCTCTTTCTAGCTGAATAACTAAATGACTTTTCAATGATTCTTACGACAAATGGTGTTAAGATGGCTCAAGGTCTGATCTGAAAACCTGGAGAAAAGAATCTCAGTTAATTTAGTATTTTTTTTAGACTTTAACATTTTGTGTGATGGGCGATTTTGCTGTTACACAATTTGTATAATTTTGCTGTTATACCCGGTTTGTTTCATGCTTGAACGCAATTCTTCAAGCCATATGTGTTGGTTTACAGTTCGACTATTTATATATGCTTGTCATTGAGGCATTATAGGTATCAAGGTCAGATATTTCAGGGTTATTGCATTATCATTGTAAACTTGTAAATGAAATTGTGTAATGGTAATATTATCCGTTTCATTATAAGGAATCATTCGGTATTCATTGACTGAACAGCCACTACTGGTGTCGGTATTTCTCTTAAATAATTTTTCAAGAAAATAGGTTTCTTAAGTCATTTAGCTGCCATCATGCTTTCCATTACTGACTGAGGCTTCCTTGGTAAGCTTCTATTTGAAGTAGTGACGAATGTTCTTATCTTGATTATGTCATTATTTTTTTTCTTCAAGATACTAATGATATCCATTTTAACTGTTGCTGCTCTTGGGAGTCTTTAAGTAATGTTTCTATTATTTGGTACAGTTCTTTGTTTGTGATTCTCTAGCGCCAATTTAGAAATTACTGAACGGTTCTCGGTGCGATGCATGACATTCATACGAAAATCTCGATTTCAAGGCTATTTAGAATAAGATTCGAGGTTTGAGGTTAACGCTTTGGTTTTGTAGCAATTTGCAATGTTTGGAGGGAAAACTACCTCTGGCGCAGGGTATTCTATGTTCAATTTCTTTTTTTCCTGTACTAAGTTTGTTATAAATGATGTTCGAAAGCAGTTCATTTTTGTGCTAGCAGGAAGTTTCCAGTCATCGTGACCGAGGGAGATATTTTATGAGATTATACGTATAACTTTTCGAACTTCAGAAATCGATTACTACTTATTGTAGCGCCTTCATTATCGCATGAATATAGGAAAAATATTCTCAGGTTTCAATTTTGTTTTTTAATTTAAGAACCCACATAAATATTCTTTGGCTAATTATGAACGTCAATGTATAAAATGAAAGATGCCTCATAAACGAAATTTTGAAAACCTCACGATATTTTTCTGCTTTTGTTTTTACATACATTTTGCAAATAAAATCCTTACATTTATCTTGATAAAGTCCATCAGAGGAGTAAAAGCGTTGATAAAGAAAGGTTTTTCTTCTTTTTTATTTATTTATATATGCATACAAATTAGGCTGGCATTTATAAATAATAATAGCACAAATGAATAACACAAATTAAATATGTAAAATTTATTGAATTTAACGTATTTCAAGTAGAGCCTTATTTGTTGTCAAGATAGTTCTTTATAGGGAACTGGAGAATTTATTTTGCTTTTCTTGAGTGCTTAGAGGAGACTCCTTTTTATGAATTATTTTGTGTAGAGATTATTCAAATATTAGTTGGGCTATTGCAAAAAAAAAAATGTTTAAATTATTGCAAATATTTTAATTTCCAAATAGAGCCAGTACGTTCTGGCCATATTCCGGATAATAACTTTCTGGGTTTTTTCGGGAGTGGTAATTGCGTGTTAAGTCCCTATATGAATACAAATTGGACTGGCATTTATAAATAATAATAGCGCAAATGAATAACACAAATTAAATATGTCAAATTTCTTGAATTTAATGTATTTCAAGTCGAGCCGATTTCTTGTCAAGAAGAGGGACAAAGTATTCTAAGTGTCTAATTGGTTGTAATTTTTTGTCCTTAAATCATATGTATATGTACGAGCATTCCACGTTAAACTGACTATATGTCACAACCTACCTCCTTTGGTGGGGTGACAAGGTAAATAT